GGTAATGTGAATAAGTTTGTCTGCAGCTCATAATTTTTTCACTCTCCAAAAGATATATTTGATGCTCTGGGTAGGTTCAAAATATGATACAAGTATCACTATAACATTTATTGTTCTCTCATTTAAAATTCACTAAAATTTTTATAGTCTCCAGAATGCAGTGTTGTTCTCTAAGGGCTTGACCGAGCTTGTTAGGTTTGTGCAAAGTGCTCGCCTTACTGTTTACAGTCTCTGAGGAGTGAGATGGCCTTGAAAGGATGATTAGATGACACTAATCATTCTGCTCATTGAGAGGGCCTGGGCAAAAGTGATAGCCATTACAATACATAAACAAGACCTTACCCATTTTGAAAGCAGTGTTCTGGGCAAGAAAAGCTCACACTCTGTGTGTCTGCCTGTAGCGTCATCTCTGCATCAAACAACGTACGCCCAGTGCTGTACCAGCTGCTCTACTCCTCTGGTTGAAAACATCAGTGGTGCTAGACCAGATTTAGACCAGTCATTTCTGGTAGAACATGGTTTCTAGAATTATATTCAGGGACATACAGTAATTCGCGTTATTAGGACTTTGATCACTCATCCGCGTGCACATCTGGGCTTTCTTCTGAGTACGTAGTTGTTCATGCAGTTCTGCAATACTGGAGGCGCAGCCTTAATGTGACCAAATTAGTGCATATTTGGTGAACTCCAGATGCATCCTATTTATTGATGCAGTCTTCAGACGAGGTCTCTTTCTAACTTGTGCTAAATTGTTGTTTTTCTCCCTGAAGACAAAAAAAGTACTGGATTTCCTTGGACTGTAGCTATGCCGGGAAAATTGCTGTAAATAGGCATTTTGACAGCCTGTGTACTTGGAGTCAAGCTGGCAGCTACCCAGTTTTATACAAAATTGCAATGATTAGTTCTCTGTTCCTTTTATGGGAAACCTTTTCCATTTTCTTAGGCTGCTAGTTTTCCAAGCAGTGTGTAGGTTTTTGATATCTTGGAGAAAAGAGCCTGCTTGTTCTAGGTCACTTCAGGCACAGGCTGTAGGAAGCAGTGGGAGGGAGGGAGTAGTTCCTACTCTTGCTCTCCCTCTTCTAATTCCTAGAATTTTGGGTAATAGCACTAAAGTCTCATGGGGTTTCTCAGTGAACTTCACTGCTTTATTTGGTCTCTGCTGGAATGGAGAGAGGCATGAAAGGGGCGCAGCAGAGTCCATTTAAATGAATGGCTGCAGAAGAAAGGCAGCTTCTAAGAAACAAATGTTCTGCACAGCTTTAGATGAACGCGTGCTGCGTTTGTGCCAGGGATGGGATGAGGACACTGGCTGCCTTCCCTTGCCCGCAGCTGGGCCCCTGGTGCCCATGGGTCTGGGCCAAGTTCGGACCTCTCCATGCCCACGGCCAGGGTGCCGGGACCTGGTGCTGAACCAGCCGTCGCCATCCCTCAGCACAGGGCGAAGAGACGGCCGTACGTGTGACCATGTGCGCGTACGTGCATCTGTTTAATGATTCTCCAGAACATCTTTTTAATAGGGTATGGCAGCATGGAAGATTTGGGTTATTTTCCAGAATACTTGATGCCTCAGGAAGGATGCAGTTTTACTTCAGACCATTCCTTTCTAAGGCCGCTTGTCAAGAAAATGTGTGTGTCATTTGCAAGGTGTTTCCTTTAAAAAAACAGGCTTAGGGAAACGGTTTATCCATTGTGACACACTTTCTTCTGCAAAATGGGCCACATAATTTTGCGAAGACAATGCTAAGTGCTTTCCTTCAGAAGCATTACAGCTTAATGCAGACTTTCAATGTATCTTAAAATAACATAGTCTGGTGGTTCTGCCTCTGCAGTGATTTCAGGATAACTGCTCACAGTGCAACCAGTGCTTCTGCAGGCAGCTCTGGGCTCTTCCTGATGCAGCCCGTGATGCCACATTGACCTGCAAGATCACTGTGCCATGGTCTGCGCCACAAAACCTTTCTTTTTCCATAGTTGTCCTGGAGACTCACGTGTGATTCCCTGGGTCTCCTCTGGGCAGAGGGAGCTACCACCATGTCCCTCCTCTGCCTCTGTCCGGAACTGCCCTCCCCTGCCGTCTGCTCCTTCCCAGGGCCTTTCTTAGCCCGCGGTGCGATGCTCCCGTGGCCCGGTAGCCCGAGTGTCCCCTGGCTCTGTGTGCGGCCCCTGCAGAGCCCGGCGCAGCAGAAGGAGCTGGGGCTGCCGGCGCCACTGCCCCAAACGGGGCGACAACTCACCTGCTGCAGTGAGACGGCACTCATTGGATGTTTTTATTATTATTAAAAGACAAATCTTTGAGTTCATTATACCATTTTAACTATTGTGTAAAGCATTTCATTTTAATAATGTACCTTAATTGCATTTATTCCCAGTTGTGTGAGTGTTTGACACTGTTTAACGCAAGTAAGATCAGCCACTTAGCTGCTGTTGCAGAAAGCCGCAGTGTGGCCTGATCAAAAGCACTGCTCTGTTAATGGTGATTGTGCCTCACATTTCTAAATGGTATACTTTCCTGATGTGCTTCCTGTGTGTTCTTGGATGTACGTGTGAGCTGCTGCATTTGTTAGAAAAATAGTATCCCATTGCTGTCTGAGAGCCCTGTTGGGCTGTGCTGTTCAAGTGGGAGGCAGTGTTGCATTAGAAAAAACTTCTGACCTAAGATCCCTTAATTAAAAATAAATAGATGCTCTAAAGAAGAAGAACAAATGCTGAGATAAAATGTTCGGCTGGTCTGAGCATGAAGAAAGCTTAAAAAATGCCTTCCTCTGTGATACCGCAGTTTGAAAGGGAAGAATTGACTTAGTCCTTTATAATTTGTACATCCTGGTAACTTGTTGGAGTAATCAAATGCTAGTACAAAAAGGAGATTAAAAGCATTGCTTCCTTAAGGATTATTTTCAACTACCCAAGGTCAAAAGTAAATTATAAGTAATGTAGCTGAGAAGTTGAATCTCTCTGGCTGGATAAATGTCACAATGAGAAACTGTAACTTGGCTTTCTATATTTAAATATCTCATTATATCTGAGGCCATTGAAAGGCACATTAGGATCCAGAGAGGTGACACGCAAGGTCTCGTGTTGAAAATCCATCCTTTAATTATTTTATGGAGGTTAATGCTTATGTATTAGAGTGGTAGCTTCATCTTGGTGATGAATAATAGGTTTCAGTAGAAATGAGTTTAATGGAAAATTAATAAAGCAAGATAGGATGGCTGCATTGCATATGAAGGCAAGTGATGACGTTAATGTGTTCTAGTGTTGCTTTAAAGGGGTTTATATTTTCAGCAGTTTTCCAGGAAGTAAAACCATTTTGTCTGCTATTATGTGCCGTGTTCCTGGTTAGGTTTAGCTTTTTTCTTTCTCCTCATGTATAAGCACTGCAAGTGTACTTTACTGGTAAATAGCCAGTTTAACCGAAATAGCCACTTGTTCCCCAGTGCAAGAAACATGACAAAATGCTCCCTTCCCACTCATCCAAAAGCACCAAATCTAGCAAAACTAACATTTGTTTTTGTGCTGCTGGGGGGTGTTTGTAGTCAGGTGCATGTGGAGCAACTTGGCTGCAGCCGGGCTTGGTGTCCGGAGCTGGTGGCACCAGGGCAGAGGGGTCGGGATCAGGCTGGCTCTCTGGTAACCTGAATCCTGGTGGCAGCTTAAGGCAGAGACTTGATTCCAACTTGCTTGTTCTGATAGTTGTTTGGTTAGTTCAGATCTTAAAATTCGTCTTCTCTTATGCATACAACATCTCTGTTTTGATGGGGATTTTTGTTATTGTTTTGGCTTTTTTACAAAGAAAACTGAAAGCTTGAGGGAATTGCATTCATGTTTCTGTTTCTTGTGTGCTACTATTGAATAAGGAGAATGTATGTGGAGTGAACAGCAACATATTTTTTTAATAGGATGATAGCTTATATTTCTGGCTAAAACATTCTGGTTAATTAAAGCTCAGTATAATAAGTGGAGAGCTTGTTGAGAGGAGGAAAACCTGCCTTGCAGGGGAATTGCTTTTTTTTTTAATACTTTTTTCTTCATCAGCTCCTGTATCCCATTAAAATGGGTACAAGAGAAAAAGTAATTCAAATTAAACCTAGCATTCACAGATGATCTATGACACACCAATCCCAAATGTGACTTAATTTGACCAGTTTTATTAGTTTTATGGGTAGTGTCAACCCCTGGCCTGGCATGAAGCAGATTCTAGTAAAATGTAGTCTAAACCTACACTGAGCAGTCAGATCTACTTGTCCAGAGCCTCTTGTCCTCTGGATCCTGCTGGCAGGTTTTGGACTCGAACCACTGCCTTGCTTCTCCAGACATAGGAAGAGGTACATCTGTTATACTAGCGTCTGAGAAGTTGTGCTACTTCATGATTTCTCAGTTTTGAGATAATCACAAGGGGAATAGGGAGGGTGAGCCATCTCCAAACCAAGTTTAGGGCAGAATGGGGCAAAGATAACTGTTTTAACGTGCACATTATTGGAGCTCGGGATAGAAATGCTGCCCTGTCCAGATATCTCCTCTCCACCTCTCATTACCAAAGCTAGAAATGCAGAAAGAAAGTGATCTCTGCATTGCTAGAGCCACAGGTGGGCTGTGATTAGTGATCAGTGATGGAGGCAAGGTTAAATGTATGGTGTCTTTTCTGTCTGCAGTGCTTTTGTGCCCCAATAACCTGATGTGATTTGGCTGTGTTTGTGAGCAAGGCTAGATCAACTAGCTGCTTCTGCCTGTACAGAAGTAGTGATTTTAAAGCCTTGTATGTTCTCGTGAAGGAAGTGCAGCTCCCTTAGAAAAAGGTCTTTATTAAAACCACGTTTCCACGCCGCTGATGGAGGGCTCTGGGCTCTGCATGGCGCAGGCTGCGGCTCCACGTCGCCTGCTGCGATGCTCGGCAGGGCCGCGGTGCGCGAGGGCGGGCGACAGGGCCAGGGGTGGCAGCTCGCCCGTCCCGGGCGCTGCGGCCCTGGCTGAGCAGCAGCGCAGCCTCTGCGCCCATCCGCCCTGCTCGGGTGCTCCCAGGTCACCTCAGCCAGGCGCCACGGCCTGTGGGGGCGCACGCAAAGCCACCCCTCAGAGCGCACACAAAACTGCCCCTCGGTGCCCTACCTCCCCACAGGACTTCCCGCTCCCTCCTGGCCCTCGCCACAGTGGCCAGCTAAGAAAGAGCAGCTTGTCGTATTAGAAGCTGGGTGAGGAGTGTTTATGAGGAGCATTTATGAGTGTCGAGGTGTTGCACGCCTGGCCCGGGTGTGGGGGACAGTGCCAGGAGTGTTGCCACATGCAGCTCCTCAGCACGGCACCCAGGGAGCCTCCGCAGCTTTGTCAGTGTCTGTGCGCTGCTCCAAAGCTCTCACCTCCCTATTACTGTCTTTCAATTCTCAAGTGCAGCTGTGTGCTTTTAAGGCTATCATCTCGGCACGTACTCTCTGGGCAGCCCGGTGAAATTCCTTTTCCTCAGGGCCTCATCCACAGTCAGGATATAGCTGTTGATCAGATCCTTCATCTCTGGGGTGAATGGCTCAAAGCCCTTCTGCTTAGTGCCCGAGCGCTTGAAGTTCCCATCCCGATTGTTTTCCACGCAAAGCAGCCGGTCTTCTGTCACTGTCATGTTTAGGAACGCCACCATCTCCTTCAGCGTAGGGATGAGGCTTTGCTTTAGGTCCTCATAGTGGATGACAAGCAGGCGTTTCCCATACTTAAGCCAGTCCAGGACATGGGATGCCCACCACGAGGCATAGCTATTCACAAAATCGGGCCATTCTAGGGGGAAAACGGGAGAACAAGACAGCGTTAGTCATGCTGTGCTTTAACCATTTCCCACATGTTACTTTGGTGTAAGGTGATAACTCTAATGCTGGTCTAAGCTTTGGGTAACCTGAAGCAAATCCTTTCACCACTGCGGTTCCCCTGCCTTTTAATCCTCTTTTCAAATGTAGCCTAAGAAAACAGGCGGGCCTTTGCTATATCTGTGCATGGGTATGCAGCATGATGCTGCCATGCTCCTGGCTGGGGCCACATGTGCTCCTGACTTCAGATGTGCCGCCTACTTACCACCCTGCTCTGGGAAGATCAGGTAGGAAATACGATTAACAAGGAAGGTTCTCCACTTCCTGGCCCATGGGAAGGACTTGGGGGTCATCTGCCAGGATTCTTGGGACATAATTTATGGAATTGTTTTTCTGCCTTTGCCGTGGGCTTAGTGATACCTCAGTGTCTTGCACTTGCTGCTTCTGACCCTCAGTTTAATTTTCTGAGGGTTGAGATAGACATGGCTGAAGCTGTGCTTGGGAGTGATGCCTTACCTTTGCTCTTCCAGTTCCTGTCCGTTGCATAGCCCAGGTGCCCAGCGTATTTTCTGTTGAATTCTGCCATCAGCGACTTGTACGGGTTCCGTATCAGCAAGATGGCAGAGTCAAACATCTCAATGTCTGTCTTACCACTTTCATGTGTTTTCACACAGATGGTCCTTCTGCTTCTCCAGTGGTCCTTTTCTCCTTTAAAACCTGTTTTGTAAGGACAGGATGATTTTTTTTTTTCACTTGGAAGGATGTCTGTGCCTTCCACATCGTAAAACATAGTGTAAAATGTTATGAGAGCACCACTTGGATCATCTAGGACCCGTGGCTAGAGCTGGAGTTTATTCTTGGCCTTGCCTCTGACCACTACAAGGCATCTGTGTTTTACTTGGCTTGGGTCCTCTTTCTGCGTGTCCTCTTTGCCCCTGGCCGCAGCCTGCAGCCACTGTGCCTGCTTTCAGCGGAGGCGTGTGCTGGAAGCCAGGGCTTCCCCGTGCGGGCGGGAGGGCCTGGGCCCCTTGCTGCGGACAGCGCTGCACTTCACAGGGTCACTGTGCCGCTCGTCCTGAGCATGGGGGCCTCTCCAAGCAGTGGTAGCACTTAAACTTATCCCACAACTCCCATGTGCTGCCAAAGGGTCTTGCTGTTGGTGTTCAGCCCGCGTGTCTTTTGGCACGTTGGTTCTGCGTGTGCACCTGCACAGTGACACCACTGCAGGTGACCTGCAGACTGTGCAGAGTGTTTTTGTGGAACTATCTGCCTGTCAGGCTTCACATGCTTTCTTTTAAACTGTCTGCTGTCTCCATCACATGAGCCCATTCATTCCAGGGATACGTTTAAGCTTTACCAGATGTGATGACAGTGACAGTCTGTTTCATTCTAAACAGGAGAATGTCAGAGCAGGTGAACGGTCATGTCCAAAACACTTTGCCACTGCTGGGAACGGTACCTTTGTTGTATAGGGTGCCGTCGAAGTAGTAGCTGCCCGTGTAGTATCCCGTGGCATGTTCTATTAAGTGACGAGCCCAGGTGTTTCCAGCCCCGGGAAAGCTAGACAAAGCAACGAACACCTTGGATTTTGTGGTTAAGAACTTCCTGTCTGTGCAGCGGGTGTCTGCGGAGCACAGAAGAGATGTTTACCGTTAGTATTGTGACTTTTTAATAATCCTACCAACAGCTTGTGATTACAGGGTCTATTTCAGCTTTTTTATACTTTTATCAATACAAGGTATCAATTTGAATCTGGTTGTGAGTCAGCTGCTTCCCCAAATTAATTCATCCATAAGAGGCTGAAGAGATTATCCTCTGGAGAGGTTTTTGCGGGGTTTGTGTTAGGACATGCTTTATTGTTGGAACCGCAGCTAACCAGCTAACAATTGTACTTGCCAGCAAGTCCTGATAAAAGGCCTTTCATGCCTGTTTGTCACCAGCTGTTTGTCAGCAGGCTGGCTCTTCAGTGAAGGCTGGACTGTGAGTTGTGCCTGCAAACTGCTGGAGAAACCCCTCCTGCTGATGTGAGCTTGAGTTCACTTAAACCTCCTAGGCTGTGATTTGCCTCAAAAAGGCCTAAGGCAGTTAAAACCCTGGTTACACAAATTCAGTGGGGACTGGACACCTGCTTTTCATATGTGCTTTTGAAAATCCCGCCCTTATTTCTCTGGATGCCATCCAAAACAAACATAGTTAGAAGTAGCAGGAGTTCAGTGGAACTAGATGCATGTGCACAGGTAGGATGAGGGTGGTGAACGGGAATGGGAATTGGAGCAGGATCCTCATTCCCTGCCACCCTGGGGATGCTTTCCCTGCCTGTGCCTCGTATACTTCATCTGCAAAACAACTAACTTTTCCTGCCGTGAGGCTATGTTACTTAATGAAAAGATATTAGGAAAATACTTGGAAAAACACGTTAATAAGGGGAGGTACGAGAGGGATGGATGAGGGGACATTCTGCGCTCCTGTCCATAGGCAAGAGCCGTCGTTGTGGCTGAGGCCTTGCCCGTGCTGCAGCCGCGGCCGTACCTTGCACGGGCGTCTGGTAGACCAGGCAGTGGGTGCTGGCTGCTGCGGCGCCCGCTCCGCTGCCATCGTGCCGCTGCAGGCAGCGCGGCCCCTCCGCGCCCTCGTGCAGCGTGAAGTGCCGCGTGGGGTAGCCACAGTAGCACTCGACGCCTCGGATCACTGCCAGCGGGAACTCCTGCCAAAGGAGAGCGTGTCAGGGCGTGGGCCTCAACACGACCTCCGTGTGCGTGGGGAGCTTCATCTCCACAGGGCCAATGGCTAGAGCAGCGCGGCATTTCGCCTTTACCTGTAAAGCTTGTGTTTCATATTCTATAACTAGAATATCTGAGCATTTTTTCTTTTTTTTTTATAAAAAGGTAACTCAGTAATATTCCTGCAGGACTTGGTGCAGAATTTCACCCAACATCTTCAATGAAGCTATAGTTCTTATTTATCCTCCAAGTCTGCATTAAGAATCAGATGCTGCCTCTTAAACCTCCATTTTTAGACTCTAAATTGAGCATTTGGCTGATAGAAGGTTTAACTTGCTTAGTTGGCTTCATCAGGATCTATGAAGGAAACCTGTCCTAAAGCTTACAGCATTAAGGGGAGAATGGGAATTCAGACCCAGTAACTACTGCATCTTTTAGAAGAGAGGACAAGCCCTAAAAAACTACTCATATCCTAGTATGCTTTGTTCACATATCGGGTGAAGCAAATGTGAGAGTTACTGAATTTATTTTTGGAAAGAATATTGAAGAACAGGACACCAAATCACCAAGTTTTACTGCCTGTGTCGGAGGCATTGCGCTGACTGCCTGTGTGGCTCTGCATGAAGCAGCAGTGGTACCCTGAAATCATGCTTGTGAACCGTGAAAATTTCTGGCTACGAGGAATGAGATGTCGGTAAACTTTTGGTGCACCTTTTTCTAAGGTGGCTGCAATGCAATAGTGATGCTCTATCGAGAAATGAAGCAGTGCTGCAGGATCAGGGCCAGGAGCGTCTGTAAGATAGGAAGGAGACATCTTTGTCCTCAAAGAAACCCTGCCTCCTGCAGCAAATAAATGGTCTGGGGCTGAAGAACTGGTGATATGGAATAAATCCGTGAAGGTCAGTTTAGTGCAGTATGAGGAAACATGAGGTCCTATATTAATGAATCTTGATTTTTCTTTACCCAGGCACGCAGCTTCCTGCTCAAATTATGCTAATAATAATAAGAGAAGTTGTAGAAGAAAATGTGTGCTAATTATTTGCAGAATAAATATGCAATTGCTTATGTGCTTTATAGGAAAAGTACACTTATTTTTCAGGTAAAATTGGCACGGAAATTCAGCCCTTCTCATACTGGGAAGACTGTGCTTGCTTTTTCTTGGGTTTCCAAGGTGTCCCTGATGAGTAGATCAGAAGTGTGTGTGCCCTGGCATGCAGGGGCAGGCTCGACTTCAATGGCAGAATGGTTGCAGGAAGCTCAGGGGGTTATTTGAGCACAGAGCATTGAATTCTACCTATTCCATATCAACACTTTTTGCCTTTTAAAAATCTTCTAGAGTCTAGAAGCGCGTGACAGAACCGCTGAGCAGCTTATCTCCCGCTCTTCCCCCACACGCTTCTCCTCTGATAAGGAGTCAAATACAACACATGTGCCATCTGTGCCCAAACAGCCAACATTTGCTTAGTGAATGAGATATGACATTGTCAAAAACTATTTATGGATTTGATCCAAAGGCAAAATATTTCTAATTCTGCCTGCAGATAGAAGTTTTTTTCCTTAAAATGAAGCAGCGTTGTTCCATTTGAGAAATTAGTACGTGACCTGGCCCTCAAGTGTAGAATAGAGTAGAATAGTGTAGAATAAAAGTGTAGAATAAAAATGTACCAGTTTTGTGCTACTTGGCATTTGTAAAGTGTTTAATTATTTTGGAAGGTTGGCGAATTTATTAAGAGATCTAAAGAAATATTTCTTTATTCCTGTGGGAGGAGGGGAAAAAAAGTGGTGTTGCAGTGGGAAGAGTAGCTGACATGTAGTTGCGTGAAGGTGGGATCGTGAGTGTTTCTCTGTGGCTGTGTGGGTGAGTGCTTGTGCCCTCCAATATAGGGTTACTGTAGGTAATGGGACCCTAACCCAGAGAAAACAAAGGATGGACTTCACTCACTCCCTTTCCTATTTTAGGAATATTATTTGGCCTCTCTCACCCTAAAGGTACAAAACTGATTGTGAAGGATGTGGACAAATCATGCCCTTACCCACTTCAGGAAATGTTCCTTCAACCACATAAAATGACACTTTGCTCAGGTAGCTAATTTAAACGTGGCAAACGCAGTGCCTTTTTCATGTCAAATCCTTGTACATTTGTCAATTGCAATGAGAAACCAAGATAACAAGAATTGCCGCTTTTACCTCCCTACTCCTTATTTCTTCAGTGCTGCTGACTTTAATATGATAGCAATTTTTAAATCAAAGGAAGACCTCGCCTTTAACTCTTTGAATTGTTTTGTTTCGTCAAGTAAATTAAACTGTCAAACCTCATTTTTACATTTGCAGAATGACTGGGAAAATTCAGATAATAATCTTGCTTTATTTACAACATAAAGGTTTCAGCACCACGTCTTGATCCTGAAAATGCAGAGCATTTTTCAGTTCTGTAGGAGATATCTAGGAGTTTATTTCCATAAAAAATAAATATACATGTCTTTTTCTTTCTCAAAACATATGTTGAAGCCAGAGGAGAAAACGCTTTCAACAAGTGTGCTCTGATCCTTGTAAAAGCACAAGAACAGTTCTGGGGAATGCACCAGGATCCTCAGTGGCAGTGCTAAGCCCTATCAGCTCACTGATTATTCCGCTGGTGTGCCGATCTGATTGTGGCATGTGGACTGATTGCAAATAATATATTCAATCATATCTTCCCATCACTATTTAATCAACAGCTAAAATCCGTCCATTTTCACTCATCTTGTGAATTTATGCAAGTCCCAACCGATGGTTACTTCCTTAAGCAAATACATATCTTTTTAACTGCAGGACTAGTCCACTTCAAGTTCAACGCACGTAAATCTGCCTTTCACTTTACAGCACTTAAGTTGCGATGTTAACGAAAGCAATCGATCTCCAGGAGCAAGATAATGTGATCATTCAATCACTGTTTCTATTAGATTATAGTCAAATTATGGATTCCCAATAGATTAAAAATACCCCCTCATTAAAAATACCCCCCTCTGCTAAATTCCTTTCCTGCTCCTTTACTAACTTTCCTAAGACAAAGTTATAACTTAAAGAGAAAAGTGCCAAAAGAATAAGACAGTGAGGGGCTACCTGTGAAAAGAAATGTCTTTCTCAAGTGAAAATAATGCTTGGTTCATTTAAGATTGAGTGTGGTCACTTTGCATGAAATCTAGATGTCATTCATCAAGGTTCCGTTGGCACAGATGTTCTAAGAGCAAAGAATAAATCATCCCTTGAATAAAAATGCTGGCTTGTTCTATGTTGCTGTCTGTTACGGCAAGGGGGCAGGTCCTTGATGAATCCTGATCCTGAATTAATCCCCTCTCACTGCTTGAACAAAGTCAGTGGGCCTGCAGTTGTTGCAGTAGCTGAGGAGCTGGCCTAGTTACGTTTGTTTTACTGTTTCAAAATGAGTTCTATCTGAAGCCTCCGGAAACATTCTCCTATTTCTGCAATGGGATTAGGATCAAAATCCTAGCAGTCTTTTGTTGAAGGATAAACAATAGCACATAGCTGCATCCAGACCCCAGAATGACAGGTCTGCTTCTGAAGTTGATAGTTTGGCATATTCTTGAAGAAACACCCTTGTGGGTCAAGATGTTGACATTTTGTGCTCAGTGCAGTGCTGTTTTAGTCTTATATACAACTACATAGAATCGCTCACTAGTAAATGGACTGTGTTTTTTTTTTTTTTTTTTTTTTTTTTTTTTTTTTAAGAAACAAAAAGTGTGGGGGGGCATTAATTCAAATGGTGAAGGCTCCCCTCATCTGGGATTCAGGTTGGTTTATAGAAGATCATATATGACAATTATGGCTTCTGGCCAAAGGACCTGGCAGAGGAACACTTTCCTGGCTGTATTATGGGGTGATAATGGATTGCTATTAAACCATGTCATCACTATGTTAATTAAGAAAAAAAATGATAATTAAGGGTATTCAGTATGTTTCATCTAAAGTTGCTACCTCAAATTCATTCCTCTGATGCTTCCACACTCCCACTGCAGTTGCATAAAACAATTTGCAAGAGTAACAAATAAATATGGTGTGCCTGCAATTGTTCTTAAGTCCCAAAGAACAAAAGATTTATTTTAGCTTTTAAGTATTCAGCTAGTCCCATTAAAAGGCCTGCTAGCTTAATCTGAATGCATAAGGTTGGTGAAATGATTCTGTTATCCATAGTATGCTGTACTAAAATGACAAGGCTTTCTGGATTTCAGGAAAATTAGGACGGTTCATAGGGTCTATGAAGCTAAGCTAGGCATCTTCTTTTGAAAGGAAGGGAATGAAAACTAGGACAAATGTTTATAATCTCCTGGAACAGTTGTAGTATCATGTGGAGTTAAAGCTCAGTCTCATCCTGTACCAGCCTTTGTTTGCATTGAGTTACTTGTAGTTTGTGTACATTGTAGTTCTTCCTTCATTTTGCATCTTATCCTCACTTATTAGAGCATAAATCACTGAGGTTAATGGAGTTGCTTTTATGGGGGAGTGATTTGAATGAAATTGAAATCAGGCAGTTTGATCTTAGTGTTTTTTTCCACTTCAATCTGATTATTTGTAGAAAGTACACACGAAAAACAAAGTGCGAAATAAAAATATGGCCTTGCAAGCCATGTTGCAAGTTTCATTGAAAATTTCTAACAGAGATTTTGCAAGTTTTTCCATTCTGCATTCTTCATCCATAACTAATAACACTAAGCTGCTATGTCTGTGCCAGCTGAGGCATGCAGAAAATCACATTGCCACCACAGAAACATTTCAGAGAAAAAAAAAAAAAAAAAAGAACGGGCAACTTTGAAAATGTGAAATCGTAAGAAAAGGTGTAATTCTGCTATTGTGCTGTTGTGTAGCATTTTGCTAAGAGATGAAGTGGCATTACTCTCCTGTTAGGCTGCCTGAACCTGTCTGGGTCAAACCCGCTTTCGGCTCGTATGTCCACAGCAGTCCACAGCCCGACCGATAAATTGAGAGGACAAACTAAGGTGTCCCTTTAGAGCAAGAGCTGCCCGAGGACAGGTGGGTGCTGGCGTGTGCCCGGAAGGCAGTATCACACCTGAGCTTGTCGACTGCTCGTGGGCTGCTGCCTGCTGGCACCAAGCAGCCCAAACCCAGCTCATCTTGGATGCTCTTCCCAGCTGGCTAACCGTGAAAGCAGAGCCAATGCTCCTAGTGTGGAAAGAGGCTTGTAAAGAAGAGCCAGGGAAGCTCCTCTGCTCTAGGAATGCTTACCTGCTAAAATAGTTCTATTGCAGCTATTTTTTAATTAAGATTATATACTGAGGGTGCTGGTGCTGAAGCTGTTTTTAAGGAGGACAGATGCAGCTACATGCTGATCAGTAGGGAAGCAAAGTCAGATCTTTGATCAGCATTCCTGCTTTGAACAAGTCAGAGCTGTTTTTCCCAAGGCCTCATTTCTGCAGCACAGCTATTGCTGCAGGTAGGGTTGATGTGTACGGGGTGGTGGTCCTGCCTGCAGCAGCGCTTACTCTTTCCGTGTGTGCCCAGGGAGGCAGCAGGGGTGGCAGCAGTGGTGAGCGGCGAGGCTGGCACAGCGGGCGGGAACGGGCACCGCGGCGCAGCCTGCGCGGTGTGAGCTGCTGTGGGGCACCTCTGCTATCGGGTTGAATGTCACCAGGAAACGGAATTGATCTGTCCTGCCGTTTATATTTGTTGTCTGGAATGGCGTTTCTGCGCATCACACGTAGTGGCATAATTCTGATAACTTTCCTTCCCACCTTCCCCATGCAAGAGGAACTGGACCAGATACATCACTAGATACTTATTCTGATGAGTTTTGTCCTTCCAAAACTCATTTACAAATTCAAAGCTCTAAGGTACTAATCTTTCCTATTCCCTTAATAGAATTAAATTTAAAATAATACACACCCACTAAAAAAAAAAAAAAAAAAGGATGCGAAATGAGAACTGTTCTTACTTTCTTGGAGCAAAATTCAGAGCACATCTCCACCGTCAAATTGGGCTGTATCAAAGAGGCTGGAAAGGTGTCTGTTAAATTTTCTGGAGCTCTAAAACATCCTCGATAGATAACGTTCCTCCCTGCAGGGATATGAAATAGGTTTCTCTTGAGAAAACAATGTCCATAGTATCCTAGCACCAAGAACAATATTTGCTTCAGAAGCTAAAAAATAAACTTTATATTCCAAATACTTTAGAAATAAGAGAAACTGTGATATACACTAGAAAAACGTGTTCCAAATCCCATGGCATTGAAAGGAGCACATGCCTTTAGCTTTGTACTGACTGCGAGAAGTAGGGCTGCAGCAAAGAGTTTAAGTTAAATTCTACCAGTGGAGGGCATTGCTATTGTTTGCAAGTCCCAGTTTTCTTTTGAGGATGTACTTTCCCCTGAAAGGCTTAAAAACCCTGATAAAAATCTACAAAGCTTCCCCTGATCTGCACAAGAAAAGGAATGGAATTTAAATGAATTCAGAAAGCCTCTACAGGGACTCACCTTCCAGCACAGCTGCTGGGGTACTGAGATATCCCTCTTCTCTTCCCGTTCAGTAGCTTTCCTTTCAAGGCAAGGGAGTTTGCTGCATCCTTCAAAATCTAAAGGAAGCTTTTTGTGAGTTGTTCAGGGAGAAAAGCTTTCCTAAAGTCTTAAGCATCAGTCTCTGATCTCATCTGCTCTTGTATAAATGCCACAGAGCTTGGCAGAGCTGCTCCATTTTTTCATCAGTGTGACATCAGGATTTGGCCCTAACCCTTGCTACTAAGAGTAGTATAATTCTCCCTTCTGCTCCTAATAAAACCAAACTGCCTCCTGATAAAACCAGATGAAATCCCCAATGTGTCATAGAAGCTTACTCCCCCAGGCATAGCAATGGGCTCACATAGGTGAATTGATGATAATGAAGACAGTGATATTGTGTGCCTAGGTTAGAAAAAGAGGAAACTTTGTTGTGCAGCACTTCTGAACTCCCTGGAATTTTGGGGGCTTTGCAAAATTGGAAAATATCTTTGTGTCATGGACATTTGGATAAATAGACATGAAGTAATCTGCTAACATCACTTAATAGGGAGACATGTGGGTTTGGGAATGAAATTGGGTCTTCTGAGTCCTGGTCCATAGCTCTGTTCTTGAGGCACTGCTGCCTATCTTAAGCAATTCTCAACAGAACTCATGTGGGAAATGTGTTGGATAAACAGAGATAAGGTGTCATTTTGAAGGATGGTTTTGATTCTATGTGAATTTTCTGTTAGGAGGGCCCAGATTCTCCTTCACAAGCCAAAAGCAAATCTCAAAAGCTCCTCACTTACAAGAGTGTTTGAGATTTGTCCTTGGCCATGACTAGGGTGTACCTGGTTAGACAGGGGATACGCTCTAGAAGTGTGTCTCCCTGCTCTCGGTGCCGCGCTTTGCATCGGGGCGCAGTCTTACGCCTTGGAAGCTGGGTTCCCTCTGGTGAAAGCAGAGCAGAGGTGCTGAGGCAAGCGCTGATATGCTCCGCTCAGTAACGGCCTTCAGCCTATAGAGCTAGTCCAAAATAAAGGCTTCAGAGTGTGTAGGGCATTGAGCTGGGGCGCTAGCAGCAGCTGTTCTGCAGTCCAGCCCCACTCTTTGCTGTGGACCTTGCTAACATAGTGTAGCCTGAGACACTGTATTTTTGAGTATGGGAAGATAAGCCTGCATTAGTGTCCCTGGTACTGTATTTACAAGGTGTTTCACATCAGGGATGTGTTTTCTGTCTCTGAACTTTCTTAATCAAAAATTTTTAAGCCATTTGATGCTCTAGTTTGTCTCCTCTCTGTAACACAGAGCAAAATTCTACTTGGTTACTACAGTGCTCACCCCCAAACTTGAATTCCTGCCAGGAGTGTCTCCCAACCAGTGCGGCATCACCTGAGTGTCTACACATTCCTGGATTGTTCCCTGCGGTGTGGGGCTTTCACTGGGTTAGACACTGCTGCACTTCAAGTGCTACCCACCTTCTTGTTTGAGATTTGCCCTGTAGGTTTCTGTCCCTGAAATGTCTTGATTGACTTGGTGTCTTTGTGGGCCATTTCCAGGACCAAGGGCGCCAGATCTGCTCTTTGACAGTTGACAGGTTTGCAACAAGCACAGCACAGTGCAGATGTGTTTCTGGCATCCCCGTTTGCTACTTGTCATGGGCCTGAGCCCCCTGCTCCTGCCCGCACGGCTCCTCGCTGCTGCCTGGCCCCACTGCACCCTGCAGGCCATCTTAGCCTGCATCTGTTCTGGGGCAGCCCCTCTGCTCACAGTGTCTGCAGGAATACCCTCCCCACCGACATAATTAACAGCAGCAGCGTAATTTCAGGTACTTGAATTTCTTCTGGAAGACCCCTCTTTCTGATTTCAAAGGCCACGCCAAAAGAACTAGAAACTTTGAGTTGATGTTCATTAATTTTTGTGAACATATGCAGACTGAATAAGATAGATGGCTTATCTATCTTTTCAAAGACCATTTTTTCATCATCCCTGAGATTTTCAAACCCATCTGAGATTTGGGTGCCCAGTTCCAATGAAAAACAATGAGGAAAACTGCATCTCCAAATGGTGCTTAGAAGCTTTGAAATTCCCAAGCAAACTGGCCTCATTTTGATTCCTCCCAGGAAAGGATATAATGGGCTACAGAAAGCACAATCCTCAATACTCACGGGGAAGAAACAAACCATAAATAAGTTAGGCCCAGGATACATGCGAAAATGATTAAATTAGAGGAGACAAAAGGTTCATGTCTGTTGTGTGCTATGCTGTATCTTTATAGAGCTTTCCAGGAGAGTGTTAAAGAATAGTGATTTCCCTCCTCACCACACTATCTTTCCAACTTTTTTCCCTGGAGAACTATGCATGAGACAGAAGCATCTTGTTTGGGGAGACCCTTTGGATATTTTCAAAATGAAAAATCAATGTACATATCTTTTATTTAGGAGAAGACAGTAGTATGAAGAGGAGAATTCCTTGTTCAATGTGTGCTAGATTAGACTCAATAGTTTTGCCCAAGTTTTTATTGGGGAAAAAGGGGATTTTTTTTTGAAGATTGAAGATTTATTTATATATTTTGTCTAGACTGACTTCCATTCTTTTGTCCCATGCCTTTATTTTATTCCTTTCCTGATGTTGTTTCTCTAAGGATTACTTGCAAGATTATCTGGCACTTCCTGGAGGATTTAAATTGACTGCATAGTGGAACAAACCCTCAAAACAGTTATTAGGGGTAGTGTTATGTCTCTGTGATCATCCAGGGCATGTGAAAATAAAACAACTTGATGCAGGTTCAGGGGGAAGGAGTCTCTCTGGGACCAGGCTGCTGTGAGCACTGCACCAAAGACAGGGGAGCAGAAGCTCCTCTGCTTCCCAGGCTGCTCTTGAAGGACTTCCCACTAAAGCAAACACCCGTATTAAATCCCTGGAACAACTGTTACAAAAACATTTAGGATTGTATTAAATACTGTCAGGAACAAAACTTGAGCAGGCTGCATTAACAATTAGAAGGGAGAAGGATTCCCGTAAAACCCACAAGTAATAGTGGCAATACGATACTTGTATTTCCCAGGTGCTGGAGGAGCCTGTGGCTGGGCTCTGCCCCTAGGAGAGCCCTGGCTGCAGCGGCTGGGAGCGGGATCCGGCTCGGGGCTGGCGGGAGGGCCGGGCAGAGCTGCTGCCCCAGCTGGCAGTGCCGGAGCTGCAGGAAAACCCTAGCTGGCTCAGAGCGTTACAGGCAAAACGCAAGGATTTGCCTTATTTTATTAATGCCAGATCTGTTTTGTATACTATATATTGTAAATCATGAATTTCATGGCCATTTCAGAGTTACTTCCCAATATGCTTGTTCATCCTGATTAATACTGTTGTTAGCCCCTCAGCTTGCTTATTCCTGCATGAGTCTTTGAGAGTCAAGTATTAGGTATTACTAAGGACAAAAAAAAAAAAAAAAACAAATCTGGCCCCAGGCCATCATTTGATGACTAATTTGTTAATACTTAAGAAAAAATAAATGTCACCTTTCCCAGTGAAATATGTGCATATATATTTTTACACTGAAAATGTAAACAATGATGCAAGTCCTGGGAAACCTGCCAATGTGCCTGTCAGCCTGACACTAGCAATTTAGGTCTGTGTACCTTTGATGTATAATTTATGTGTAGCTGGGTAGATTAATGTACAAACTTTACAAAGAAATGAAATACCACCAGTACTGGCAGAACTCAGGTCCTGGTGCCTGTGCTCAGCGAACAGCATCCATAGGGTCTTGTGAGTTTGCCAAGAATAAAGGCTGCTTAAGTGTTTGGATATTTTAAATGCTTTGGGTTGGCCCAAAGGTTTATCTGCTGCATCTGCTATGACAGCTAATTGATGAACAAACAGCAAGGAACATCAGATAAAGATGGAACAGAAATGCCAGCTCCTGGGGGAATGGAAGTCCTAGAGATTGCAGGACCTGCGATCCCATTTCTCTCACCTAGAGGTACAAGTGTGCTCCTCTGGAGAATCTCTGTGTTGCCTGGCTGGAATGCCAGTTGTGTTTGTGTTGTTTAGGACACTTTTAGCTCAAAATGGCATTGATAAGTACATTTTTCTTCAATTATAAAGCACCCAATTTTAGAGTTTTTTCTCAAATGCATAGATTTGCTCCTTAGTAGTGAATATAGAAGGCATTTTTCTGACAGTATCCTGCTGACATTGCTATCGCTCTGCGCTGTATTTATTTGCTCGCCTGGGGACACTATCTGTGCAGTGAGACAGAGGCAACCTACAGACACCTTCTCGAAACCACAGTGCAAGGGGCAGGACGCCTCCGGGGAGGGAGCCGTTGCCGGCTGGCGGCACAGGGACACAATGCCCCTCAAGCATTTTGTCCTTGGTGAAAATGGAGCGGGATGAGCAGCAGGAAGCGTCCACTTGCTTGGGCCGTCGTGACAGTGGCCGTTGTGGCACGAGCACCGGTCCCCGGAGGGGAGCAGGCTGCTCTGGCCACCCTGCACTTACGTGGCTTTGCTGCGGCGCGCAACTCCTCCACCCTGTAGACAGAAAGCCGGTTCACGCCGCCGCACATGGAGCCCTTCTCCCCTCGGCACTCGCTGTTGCACTCCTCGGGCTTGCAGGCCGTACTCGGCAGCCTGTTTCCGCAGTAGCACTCTGCTCCGTACTCTAACCCAGCGTAGGCGTACGCCCTGCAGGGACACCCAACGAAGTGTCTCAAGCGCGTGCATCCCTCCTTGGCACTAAATCTGCAGCTGACCAGCTTAGGAACCCGCCCCTCAGAGCCCAGCAGACAGCCACAGATCCTAGGCCACAGATTTGGGCTCCAGAACAATTTGTAACAGTTGAAGTGTTCATTTTTGGACAGAAAATATATTTAAACAGAAAACATATTGCAAGTAGTCAAATAAAGAGCCATGGATAGGCAGCAGTAGAAATAGTATATTAAAAGCCAGGTTGCAGAGATGTTCCATCCCTGCAGGTATGAGATAACTGCAGTTTTTAGAGATGCAGTCTCTAACATATGCATGCTTTTTTATGAATCTGGTTCAGCTAGTTATCTGAAAAGAAAAAACTTGCAGTGCAAAAAAAAAAAAAAAAAATCACTTTACCTCTCAGCACAGGCTTCCTGACAGTGAGAGACTGTCATTTTTCTTAAGTCATAAAACACGGCTCCCTTCAATGTCCTCTCCCTGGAGTCGTCGCTGAAGCAGCCCATGTAAGTTCCTAGGAGCATAAAAACCACATCATTAGGCAATGTGCATGTGCCAGAAGGAGGAGAAGGACAGGCATTCCCGAGAGAATTCAGTGCTGTGAATGGCAAGTGGAGCCACCCAGGATGGAGCCAAGCCTCGCAGCAGCCTGGGCCAGTCACAGTCGAGGCTCTTGGCACTGAGCTCTCCTAAGCGGTGGTGACAGGATCAACCCAAATGAGTGGTGGAAAGGAAGGGAAATTTCTCTTAGTTTTTTCTTGTTTAGACTACTTTAAAGAAGGCTGCCCATTTCCCCAGAGCCACTGTTCCTTGGGGCTGTGCCTCCCTACTCCTTTCCCTAGTAACACAGGCCCGGTTTTCTCTTCCGACAGTTGCAGTCACAGCTTTCCTGCCTCATACAATTCCTCAAAACACTCCCATGGCACCTGGTCCTTCTCCCCTCCAGCTACTAACTGGTGGTGGCAGCTGCTGCACCTGCATCCCTGCGCTGCATCCAGCACCTGCCCATGTCCCACGCGGGAGCCTGCAGACGCCGAGGGCAGCAAACTGCAGACACAGCACGTGGGCAAACTCCGGCCCCGGAGAAGCTGGGAGGGGGAAGAGCGGGGCAGACTTCTAAACGAAAGGACGAGGTAATCTTTAAAATGGTTTAAAGTTTGAGAAATCTGCTTGGATTTCTCCCAGGTTTTCTTGAAAATCTCTAGTTGAAAATAAGGTGGTGCAAGAGAAATACTTTTAAAAATAAATTTCCCATGGGAATGCAGTGTTACATTAAAAGCTTATAATGGAAAGATAACTCCAGCCTTAACTAGTGAGCCTTGTCTAGCTATCATATTAAACACTTTCTCTACAGTGCCAATGAATCTCTTAAAATGTCCTGCTTTACTTAACATATGAAAGATAAATATTTCTGTTAGACTGCATCCTACATTAAGCCCCTTATTTTGTTGTCATGAACAAAACTCAGTAAAATCTAGTCTGTATTTTTGTAATATATGATTGCAAGGATGACCTAGATTCCCACTATTATACAGCAAGCATGTATATATAAGTACATGTTATTAAAATATGAAGAAAGAAAAGAAATTTGATTTTGGAAGTAATAATATTGAGATCACAATAGCAGAAAATTCAAATAGCACATGGGCCGTTGGCAAGAGGAGAAGATGTAGTGAGAAATGAAATTTAAAAAGAATCTTAATACATTAATATGAAAAACTTGAAGACAGTCTAACAGAGAATTTTAGAGCTAGGAAGATAAATCAAACATTTAAATACTACAGCAATACTTTCCAAGAATTGCACATTGGTAATTTGCAAACATGCAATTAGCAAATTCACAGACTCTGAATATACACCCACAGTTAGCTGTCAGTGAGAGGGGAATCATGCACCTGGAATAGGGATGTTGTGTATTTTACGGGAGACTCCTAATTTTGGTTCTTGGATCCAAATGTATGGGATCCAAGTGTCTCCCTCAGGAGGCAGTGGAGTGTAACTAGTGCAACTGCATCTGGTGTCTTCCTGCACGCCTTTCACTTGGCCAGGAGCCCTGTGTGAGGTGTCTAGCGGTGTCTCCTCCACTTCAGGAGGGTTTGGGAGTGTTTCAGTAGCTGTCACTTTTGAAACTCTATGTAATGGCATAAATCTGTCTAAGAGAAACAACGTAAAACATCCCATGTGCTTTTTTTCTTAACAGAAAAAAAGAATTTACTATGAAACAAACTGCTGTTTGTGTTTGTGGTATTAACAGTATTTTCCAGTTTCCCTGGTAGAATAAGATGCAGTCGCTCCCAGGACAGGTTAGCAGTGCAAATGGACGCTAGTGATGCCCCAACAGGAAAGAGGGTGAAATTCTTTGTCTGCGGTTGCTTTGTCCTGCTCGGACATGGAGCAGGGCAGAGCGAGCGGCTTCCAGCACGCAGCAGGCAGCGTCCATGAGGCTGCAGCCCACGCCGGGCCGGCCGCAGGGGTCCGGGCTGGTCTAGAGAGGCGCGAGGCGGCCAGACACACCCCGGTGGGAGCCCCTGTGCCACTCGGGGGGACAAGGTGCTACCAATGTGCTGCCCTGCGGGCGGTGTAACCACAGGGATTTCCACTCTGTTTGCACGGGATACCCAGTGAAGTAGCAGCCTGCAAGCTTACTAGGAAATGTGAGTGGGGCAGATAAATATGTTATATAGGAAGCTGAATTTTTGATGCATAATAATTTCCAAAGTTTACAATGCTTATTAAAAGCACAGCTATTAATAATGATATTTCATTTTCAGTCTGATATTCAAATGATGCACATTTGAATCAGCATAATTCAGTGGTATGCAACAGTAAGTAGCCCCTTTGGCCTTTTCTCCGCCAGCAATTACAGCCTGAGTGTGGCACTAGGTTAATGGCTGATATGGGCATTAGCTTTAACTAGTTTATATTGATATTTTTTGAAGTTAATCCCTTTGTTTTTAATTGTGTTCTTAGAGTCCTTCAGGAAATCTGTGGTGGCAGGCACTGGTCTGTACTTTGTCAGGCATTAGAGTAGCGCACAAAAGCTCACCTTGTTTCTGTGCTTATGATCTATTCTTTTGTTAATTATAGACACTAGAACACCACCAGCAGCTATAGCCAATAGAAATCCAAACCTACCATTTTGTACAGTCTGAAATTGAGAGATGTTGAGGAGTCCGGGGCACCTTCTGGGTTCAGTGAGGCAGGTTTATGTGCGTGGGCAACTTGCAGCCCCCCAGGTAGCTGCAGAAGATGTGCAGGCTGGAGGTGCAGATCGTGCACGTCCCATATGGGCAGTGCAGAGCAGCGGGGCGCTCGCACGGGGCTCCTCCTCAGTGCGTATCAGCACCCTGGGTGCTAGGCTTTCCATGGGCCTCAGCTCCGTCACCCACGTGCAGCACAGAGCGGAGCAGCTCTCGCAGCAGGCTAGCCCAGCAGCTGCTGCTGGACCCTGAACATTGTAGTTCTCAGTCCAGAGCAAGTTACTGAAATGCAGTTGGGTTTTCTGGGGAACATCTGCACTTTGCAATTTCTGTTCTCTGCTGCCACGTCTGCTGGTGTGGGAATTTATCAAGTACCTGGGGAGATGGGAGATGGGAGAACTCTGGGAAGTCTCTGCATGATGCTTTGGATACTTCCAGCTGTTCTGGTTTGCTTGACTCACGCAGTATGACTCATCTATCTGACACCATCCATACCAACTTATTTCCCCTTCCAAAAACTCACTCAGTAGGAATAACTACAGAGCACTTTTGTGGAATTTTGGGATAACGTTATTCAACAGGATAAAGAGCAGCTGAGTAGCATTGTGTCTGGTTGTTTAAATCTCATTCCTTGCGGCAGTGAAGCACCTCAAAGAGGAACCTTTCTTCTAAGAAGCAGTGGATGAAAGATAGCACTTGTCTTCTCAGAACAGCCCTGGGTTACCGACTGCTTCCCCCGGGATTGCTGAGCAGGAGGGCGCTTCGGTGCTACGCGGTGAGAGCTGTTTTGGCTGTGAGGTGCAAGGATAATGGTGTGAGGAGTGTAAGGACGAGTGTGACCCTGCTGTGGAGAGCAGGCAGGCTGTGTAACCGCCTGTACTGCGGGCAAGTGGGCTCATGTGCTGCCCCAGGGCGAGACAGGGGTGCACAGGGCTGCAGAGCTGTGCAGAGACATTGCAAACATCTACAGAGTCCTGCTCTGCTGCTATGCTTGCCCTGGATGCTACTTTCTCTAAAGGTTTGCTACTGACTAAACCAAAGCAGTACATGCATTTATTTGTTAGCAGCAGTTAGGGTAGCAGACTTGCACTGAAGTGAACTCAAATTTCATCACCCCTGAATGGCTTTCCATTTAGGATATCATTAAATCATGAAGTCTGGAATATCCAGTTTTGTATCTTGTGCTGTGGCTGCTAATGCGTGGCACCAGGCTCCCCTGTGCAGTGGTGAAATTCCTCTGGCAGTCTGCTGGATTGTTACTAATTTCTAGCAAACTTGTCAAACACTGAGAGCTGTCTCTGTTCCAGGAGCTCTTATCTCATGGGAGCGGTAAGGGGATGAGGGGCTATATTGACCTACATCATGCTCCTCTACGGACAGCAGAAAGCCAGGACAGCTACAAGGGCAGGTTAGGACAACAGGTCTGTTTGCAGCAGCAGCAGCCTTCAGGATCTGCAGGAAGGTCTTCACTGGCAGAAGACACCTTCTACCTGAAGGTGTCGTGGGCTTCTGGAGAGTCAGTTTAAAACCCACTTTTAAAATTTTCCCTTTTCTGAGGAAGAAAATCAAATAGTGTTCATCTTTGCCCTCTTGAAAAGAGAGTAATTTAAAAGGAGGAAGCATATTTCACCACCTGGGCTGCTATTCCATCCAATAAAAACACTTTTCAAGGAATTTACAGCTCAGCAAAAATAGGCATGTCTGAACTTAAATTTGTTATGTGCATACACTTAACAGCTGGCTTGGAAGTGTTGAAGAGCTGTAAGAAAAGCACTTCTGTAAGTAGTCTTTGCCTGGAGTAGTCCTAGGAGGAGATGCAGTTTGCATAGATACCTGAAAACGGGGTAGAGGGGCAGTGTCTCTTACCTTTGCTTTCAGCCACACGCTCCATCACTTTAGATCCTTTCATCTTTGCGGGCTGCTCCTCGACGAACCTGTGGAACCACCTTCGGCGCAGCTGCCTGAGCTCAGAGTTGCGGGACATGAGCCACTGAGGGCTGTGCCTCTGCTCCAGAGCCGACTCTGGGAGCACGTCCATGCCCACCAGGAGCCTGGCGCTCGGGCGGGGGTTCTGCATCGTCCTCATGTCCACCCCTATGCCAACCCCTACCATCACATCCGAAACAGGCAGCGCCTGATTAGTAGAGGTCCCACGTGAACCTTGCTGGATAACCAAGCGAGACCGCTGAAGTAGCAGAAGGCTGCCAGCCATCAGGTAGGCTGCTGTGAGGAAAAAAAGCAAAAATTGGGTCCGCCGAAGAAACTTCTGTAACCTGAAGAAAGCTTTGGCCATGCCCTTGCTGAAGCTAGGCCTTCACGCCTTCTAAATGGACCCTGAATCACCTCTTGAGTTGGTGCCAATTCCTCCCATAAGTTCCGCCCATCACTTCAATGCCTTCTCCCTGGGAATAGTATTTTCTCCGGACGTCGGGGTGAGCCTGGCGCTTCACATCTGCATGGGCAGTGGGTTCCCAAGTGGCTGGCGGGGTTGGTACAGACCCGAGGATACCTCCATTATCATGTTCGGTGGAGCTTAACAGCTGCTGCTGAAACCTGAAATACGAAGGAGGGAGGGTGAAAAAAGGATGGTTGAGATCCAGACAGTAAATACTTGTCATCAGGGTGGCTTCCCCTGCTGGTTCTTTCAGCTAAGCATTTGTCCATCTGTTGTTTATAATTATGCACTTTAAAGACAATAATCCTATGAGAATGATTGATTAAGCAGAAGCTAAAACCAGATCTTCAGTATTACTTGTTTCTTTAACCTAGAATGCCCAAGGAATACCTCTGTGATGAGGTCATTTCTCATGGGATGGTTGGAACATTAAGTTATCTGTTTTCTTTTGTAAATAGCTGACATCTCCGTTCTTTGTTACTGATTGGAATAGGCGGCTGCAGTACAGGCATCTTTTTAGGAAAGTATTATCGGGTACTTTCTTTTAAGCACAATAGTAGCTAAGCTACAGATGCAGATCAGACGGAAATAGACATGTGGGTGTATAGAAAACAAATGAAATTGCATCAACTCACGATGGATAAGAGTATTAAATCTCTTTGCAACAGCAAGTAAGGCATTATTTGGAAAGGATATCTTGGGGCTCTGTACTGCAATAGAGAGAGCTGTGTGAATTATTCTGCGTCTTGCTTTAAAAGAAAGCAATGATCTTGCTAATTTTCTTAGTAGATTTCTATCGATAAATGTCAGCATGTAGATGCTTTTACACAAAAGCTGGTGAATGTTTGAAAGAAAATTCTTTTCAAGTTTCACCAAGTGTCTCTTGGTGACTCCGGAACTCTGCCAGGCAGTTAGTTAGGCTGGTGTGTACCCCGAAAGGACTGTCCCAGTAAGAACAGCCTCTTTGTGCTCTGGGACCTTCTAACCTCCTGCAACAAAAGCGGTCTTCTCCATACAGTCTCCTAGTTGCTCAGTCAAACATTTCTCTGTGGATCCAGGCAAGTGTGAAGAAAAGATCTAGTGTTTTCCAGAAAAGAAAATATTATGGCTTTTGCTTAACTTGTAGTTGGGACACACTCATGAAATCCACAGTCCTGGCAAAGAAACATATGCTCACTGTATTCCTTGTTTCAGTATATGGGTTTTTGTGTGTGTGTGTGAATATTCACATATGCCTCTTCCTAAAATGTATCTTACCAAATAAGTATTCACTTATTCCCTTATGCATTTACTCATGTAATTTCTCTCCATCTTGAGCAGCAATCAAAAACAAAGCTCTAAAACTTCTAAGCTGAAAGTATATTAAAGCTCAGCTGAGGTTTATTCTTCTTGTGTGACCACCTTTCCATCTAGATCCATCTAGAAGGTTGGGCTGGCACCGGGCAGGAATCAGTGCTGACTCCTCTTGCAAGTCAGTCTTTAAGGCCCGACTTACGGTGGCGTATTTCATCGTTGTTGTTGAAGTTCACGTATGCTGAATTGCATAGGGTTGAGTAGCATACAAAAAATGTTTGTGTTTATTTCTGTACCTGAACTTTCTCCAGATACTTGGTTTGATAAGGCCTTATGGTTACTTTGCTAATATGTGTGGATGTTCTTATCCTTGCCATCGTTATCAGCTAACTTTAGGACAGGTGTGATGGGCGAAGATGCTTTAGAAATTATTTAAGACCACTTTCTCCACTACATAAAAAAAAAAAAACTCTCTTCTGATCAGCTCTGAATCCAAAGAAAATAGACTGATTTACACCAACTAAAGAGCCAGCCATTAGATTTAAATTATTGAAAATCACCAATCAATGTTCTGAGAGCACAGAAGTTACAGTAAAAGGGTCAGGAGTACCTAGATGAATGAACAGAAGATTATGTATAATTAGATACTGTAGAATGTGACTGTGCTAATTTAGCTGAAGAAATAGTGCCTGTCAGCAAGGTACCATTTGATTCACTGGTTGTTCATCTGAGCTATTCCCAAAAGAGGAGGATGTCAAAAGGAAAACTTTGCCATTGCCTACTAGTTGGAAAAGTTTAAGTGGTACGAACCAGCGTTACTGCAACCAATATGACTTGTATAAATTACCTCCAAGATGCATTCGCCCTCAGTACAGTTGCCATGACAGTGCATTGTAGTAAAAATCAACCAAATAAATAAGCAGACTCTCTGCCCACAGCAACTGCTGCAAATGTACAACTTGAAAATTAAATGTTGCTTTTTAGTAGGGAAACAGCAGAATGCTTCTGACATTTAAAAAAAAAAGCCATTTGATTTTTCAATAAACCGCATACTGCAGTATCATCAGAATATACCTGGAAGAATTGAGTACATCTTTCTTCATATTAAAAAGGCAAAGGAAAGGAGGGTGTGAAGTGGTATCTGTTAATAGAAAATATATCATTTGTCTTTGTTCTGTATGTTTCAGTTAAAATGAATGAAGTGAAATGGAAGAAAAAATGGAAGAATAAAGTCGTATCTTGGTTGAAGAGAGTCTTCTTCCCCTATTTATCAGTTCTCACAGCCACAGGTTTGTTTAGGACCAGATTAATTGACAGTTGAGCAAAAATTCAGTTAAATCATTAGATGATAATAGAAAGGACTTTGTAATAGGCAGTCAGAACTGTTAAGGAGCAGCAAAGACCTCTAGGTGGAGAGAACAAGGGAAAGGCTGTGCTGCAAAAAAGAGAGGAAAATAATGAGCAGCAGCAGACATGAGCGGCTCAGATTTGGATATCATAAATGGGGCTACAGAAGGAACGCAGGGTGCCATGTCTGCGACTGGGAAGGGAAAACTTGTGCCAGTAAAAAGGCAATGTACTTTTGCAAAATGCAGAACTCTCCCATGAAGCTCATTTTGACAGGTTACTGCAGGCAGGAATTTGGGGTGGTTCAGAGAAGCACTGATTGGTCTTGTTTTATAAAAAGCATGAGCTTATTCACAGCATTAGTGATGGGTGACTCTTAATTATTTAGAAGTCAGATAACAGTTCAGTTTGAACAGTGCTTTTTGTCGTTTCCATGTCTTTTTTTTTTTTTTTTTTTTTTTTTGCCTGGAATTGGAGATCAACGAGGGAAAAAGAAAAAAAAAGTCTCACTTTTTTTCTAATGTCCCTAATACTCCTATTTTTGGCACAGCTAGAAATACTCTGTTTAGAAACCTTCCAATGTGGTGTAAACCAGGAGGATTGAGTTCAGAGGTGAAAACCAGTGAACCTGAGATTCCCCAGTATGAAGATATGAATCTGCTCTGTTGTTTCCTGAAGTTGGCTATGCTGCATTTCCTTTCCCTGGCTCTGGCAAAGCCAACACTGGACAGAAAGGCAGCTCTACCCTGGCGTGATGAGATGTGGCTGCATCTCCTAGGTGGCGGCCAGACCCCCTGCCTGGCGCTGCGGTGCGGGCATCTTCGGCAGAGCTGTGACGCTTGGTCACTTGCTCGTTACGGTGCCGCAGGGCTCCCAGGCGCGTGGGGCATTAGCTGGGGAGATGATGCTCTCCCAGGGTCATGCACAAACCAGCAGCGCTGCTGCAGGCGCTCCTGGCAGCATCTGCCCTGCGGCTTTCCCGCAGGCCAAGTTCCGTGGTGCCCACGGCTCCAGGTGCTGCTGGCTCGAGGAGCCGAGCAGCTCTTGAGGAGACCCCCATCATCTGCTGTGCAGCTCTTGGCTTTCCTGTGGCTGCGGCCCCTGGTCGAGCGCATTGCACAGGGCGGGAAGGCATTTCCCTGTAACAAGCGCATGTGACACAGTCGCACCTACTCGGATCATGGGGCTGAGAGCAGCAGGGCACTGAGAGCACACACATGCACTGGCGTCTCATGCACGGACGAGACTGTACAGCTGACCAGGGTGTTTCTGCTCTTAACTAGTGCTGATTTTCCTCTAGTCCTCGTTGGCCTTTCGGCACATATGTAACACCAGACAGGACATCTATATCTGCCATTAAAAAGTTGCTACAAGGAAGAGCAAGTCTGTAACTTGCTTCTGAAATGATCTCAATTGACAACCACTCAACCACTTTCTCCTTGGCCACAAACAAAGTCATGCCAGGCAGCTACATTAATAGTATTCTAAGAGAAATCAAAGCATTGCAGTTATTTGCCATTCTCCTCTCCGTGCTAAAGAAATAGTTACAGAAATTTTAAGTGAAGACTGAATACTGCCAGTGCTGCTGTGAAAGCCAATAAAGGGTGGAGATAGTGAAGAAGAGCAGCCGCAGGAGGAGGTGAAGAGCGGCTGGTTGCCGGCTGTCCCTCAGCAGGCTGCACATGCTGAAACAGAGGTCAGTACCGCACTGAAGCCCACGGCTTGTCAGCACTTAGTGCTGTCTTTGGACCAGCAGGATTTTGCAAATTCAGAGTTCCTGGCACAGAAGCAAGACTATGCTTTCTATTATGGACTGAGGCAAAAGGGACTCTCAGACATTGTAGAAAAATCTATTCCTTTTTGCATTCTTGTCTAGTTTGTTAGCTATCTTTGGGGAAAAATGTAGTCAATTTGGCAATGATTTGAGACGTAACAGAAAGAGAGGCTGCTTTGTAGGGTTTCTTTTGGATGTAAGCAGCCATTTTTTAAGAAACGCGTTGAAAAAGAGCACAAAGATGAGATAGCGAAGCTCTCCCCTTCCTACACTGAATGGGATCAATCAAGAAATTCCACATGCCCTGGTTGCCACATCATAGGATAAAAGCCAGTTGATGTTTGAATCAAAATGGAACCATGGACTGACTTGCACATTTATGTGGAAAGCAGCAGATGCCAAAAACGTAGCTTAGAAGAAATGTCTTGGCAGTGTATTGTCTTAATCCACTAAGATCAAGAAACAGCTTGATGTTGATTCGTATGGATTCTGACTCAAGTCACTGTTACTTTTTCCAGGTCCTTAAGAAAATGTCAGATCAAGTTGTCCTGCTAACTGGACAACGTAATTCAGGAATTCATGCAAAAGAATGAAAAGCAGCTGGTTTCTTAATTCCATCACATTTCTTAGATTGTTTCACCAAATGCAAAAGGAAAAATTCCATGAAGAGTTGTTATAACACTCATTTTTCTTCAATGCAATGTCTGTGAAATAAGGTTTGTGGTATATAACC